ATTACAGCCTGATTTTTACTCCTTTGTTTCCCATAAGCCGGACCCCAAATCCAGTCACTCGCAGAACCTCCATACATATGGGAAAATCTGTGCTCTTAGCTGGCAATAAACAGCACTGGCCTGTGGAGAATTGAGTTTGATCTACTCCTTTCCTACTCCTTTTCCTAACATCTATTGTAAATGGAGATTTACTGTACCCAGCCCTAGGGAAGAGTTGCGTAGTTTGCATGTGACTGCTTTTGTGTTATATTGAGAGTGTTGAGTAGATGTGACTCTGGATATCTGTGCCCCCTGTACCTTCCCCCCTCTTCCCCCCGCCCCCCGCCATGCCCCATGAAAGTATTTTACTATTTGCCTGCCTCCCCCAGGAAGAAGCTGGCTCTAGTTTTATGCAGTGGGAAGAATAAAGGCAAATCCCTCAGGCAGAAATGTGCTTGTGGTGTTAAAGGAATAGCAAGAAAGCAAGTGGGCTTAAGTTCAAGTCAGGAAAGGAAGATAAGAGCAGACTGGAAGGGAGAGGATCCTGCAGAGCCTTTATAGACCATGGCAAGGACCTTTGGCCTTTACTTATAGGGAGATAAGAAATCCTAGAGGATGTGGAGTGCAAGACTAACATAGTATCAGTCACACTTTGAATGGATCCCTCTGTTTAGGATGGGTGGGTGGGACATTCATAATAATTAGAATGTGTCTATGATATTCTTAGAGGATCCCAATAGTACAATCGCTAGGTGCACATAACCAAATATAATGAAACAAAGCAATATGAACTCTAGGAATTGGAAACAAAAGGTTCTTATTATGTCCTGTATGCAGTTATTTTTATTTTTTTCTGTTTTAGTTTTCTGTACCCTTTGTCTTGTATATAAGTTTATTTGCTCTGCTGAAGGGAAAGGGAATCACGGAAACAGCAGGAGGAAGGATGAACTAAGGCAACAATGATACTCACTAGACACTATGTTGGAAATGAGCTTTGCAACTTGGGGAAAGAGGGGAGTGAAGAGGGGAACATGGTAGAAAATGAGGGAGGAGGTAACAGTGTTCAAAAAATGTACTCATTACCTTCCTTATGTAATTGTAACCTTTCTATTCATCACTTTTACAATAAATAATATATAAAAAAGAATAGATGAGAGGGAGATAGTTCGAGAGCAACTGCAATAATCTAGATGAAAATCCCTTGTACAAAGCAATAAGGACGGAGAGTATGAAATTTGTTAAATTCTGAATATATTGTGAAGAGATAACTTATAAGTTTTGCTAATGAAGCTTGTGTGTGAGAGAGAGGGAGGGAGAGAGGGAAAAAGAGAGAGGGAAGAGCCAGGAATGGGAGAGGGGAATGGGGGGGGAGGGAGAAGAAACAGGGAGGGACAGAGAAATGGAGGAAGGGGGGAGGGAGAGACTGGGACACTGAGGACAGAGGAAGAGAAGGAGGAAGGGAGGGAGGGAGAAAGGGAAGGATGGAGAGAGGGAAGAATCAAGGAAAAGGAAGGGATGGAGAGAAAGAGAGAAGAGAGAGAGAAAAAGAGAGTGTGAATAGCGGTATGGGAGCCAGTAGTCAAAGTTTACTGGTATGTGCCTGAACATTGAGAAAGGCAGAGCACTATTATCAGACATAAGCAAGACTATAGGTCATATGTAGTATTATTTGCAGTTGGAGATGAAGTATTTAGTTTTAGTTTGCATAATACATTTTAGTTGTCTTCTGAATATCCAAATGGACAAGTTCCAGAGGTTTTACAACTGGAAGCTGGAGTTCACATGAAAGGCTTGAAGTGGACATACAGATAAATAAGTCATCCATGTGTAATTAATACTTAAGTCAGAAGAACAAAATAAAATTCCCTAGAGAATTGTACACATTAAAAGAATGATCAGAATAGCGACAGGTTTTGACCTTCAAACTTTATCCTGTTTCTAATCTTAAAACACTTTGCTTAGGTATGTAATATATCCCCACTTTTCATTTAAGGGAGTGAAAATCAAGTACCGATAGACTTCCCTGGTTTTACTTAACTAGGGACAAGATTAAATTATGCTTCTTGCAGTGGTCTGAGTCCTCTCAGTTATCCTACCAAATACAATATAATAATACAAGGGAGAGGCAGGGCTCAAGGGGCCTGCCTAGAAAGCAGACTCACAAAAACAAAACAACAAAAGAGTAAACACCAGCTAGGAAGAGCTGATAGTTAAAGGGATAGTAGAATTCCCCCAGTGGGCTGCATACTCACACTAATATTTTCATGAGGACACTCACTAATATTCTCAGGAAAAGATGCCTCTCCTTTAACTTTCAATAGCAGTGAGACATCTTTTTTAAGGAAACCACTAGCTGTATGAACTATGATAATGTTCTCATGAAACTTCCCCCTCAATTTCTTGAAGTTAAAAACCTCATTGTGAATAAGCAGAATATTTCTATCTTACGAGCCAGCAAAAAAGGAATTTTTGCATTGACAACAAGGATTACGTGTTAGGGAGACTACCAGTTACTAAGTTTCATGGGACACTGGGAAAACCCCATTTGAAAGAACACAGTGGCAAAGGGTATTCCTCATCAGCACACGTGACCCGCTGTGCCTTCAAAATATATTGGTCTTAAGCAAAAGTTCTTAATAGTCTCCAGCTACTTAGTACCCAGTGGCTTCTCAAAAGTATGATTATACCCAACCACTGCAAAATAATGTGGAGCAAAAAGAGGCCTGGATTCCTTCTTCCCTCTCTCCCTACAGTCTAGGGCTGAAAGGACTAGTGTTTTTCTTATCATTACAAAAATCAAAAGAGGCTCAGCACTCCATGCTGAAGGGTTAACAGGCAATAACCATCTGAACATGCAAAAACTTCTACATACCCCAAATATGAGGTTACATGTTCATTACAATTATGAAGAAACCAAGGAAGGGAAGCTGCGCTTAAGGCTTGGTGAACAGGATCAAGGCTCAGTGGAAATATTGGGGCCATGCTGGTCTGAATGAATCTTAAGGGGATTAGTTGGACGTTTAGAGTGGCAATTATGGAACTTAATGATCCTCCTTCTCCTTCAGCCTACATGTTTCTACTCATCAAAGGGTAAGTGAATGGAGGCACATCTTCTGGGACAAAGCATCATGAGAACATACCCTATGAGAGATGGTTGCTTTGGTGACAATAAAAACGTTTCTTTGTCATTGGTCTTTATGCTCTCTTTTCACTTCGTATCCCTACATTGATAACTTATTGTGTGCTTCAACCAAGTTGTACCTTGTGTCATGTTTGTATTTCCCACAAGATTCAGCAAAGACTTTGTACCTAGGAGATACATAGCAATGCTTGTCATTACCCTGTTGACAGATAGACATAAACACTAAGACTCAGATTCTAGATCTTCTTTTTGGAAAGGGTCTAAGAACTCTACCCTTGTATTATGAGCTTTGGTCATGGCATGTTCCCAACCTTATGGTTATAACTATATTCATGGACCAGAGGCAGATTGAAAGTAAATTACTGAAGTGTAAGCAATCATATTCCTCGTCACTCTTTTGTGAAGAATATTCCTTGTGTTTCTAAACTATTTACTTCTTTTTACCTTGGCCTGGTTAGCTGAGGTATTAGCTAATAGAAGTAAGTATGGAGAGCAGAAATTTCTAGTAGATGAACATGAGGAGAAATTGGAGAGAGTGATCAAACCATCCAACCAAGGCTGGTCTTACCAGGAATAGAAGGAGGGATGGGTAGTTGTCAAATTGTCATGAGAATGGTGGAGAATTTTTTTTTAAAATAAATGACAAGAATTATTGTATGTTTTCCTATACTCTGTGTTTAATCTTCTTTGAAAAGTTCCTTAAAAAAAAAAAAGGAAAACATCCAAATTGTTCTCCAAGACTTTAAGAGCTAGGGGTGTGTGTGTGTGTGTGTGTGTGTTTTTGTGTGTGTGTGTGTGTGTGTGTGTGTGTGTGTGTGTGTTATTGTACTGAGAATTTTTAAAGGTTTGCTTCTTATTGGGGGCACAGTAAGTGTCTTTTACCTTTATTTCACCAATACCTAGGCTTATTATTATGTGAGCAAGTTTCTAAATAGAAAGTCTGCATTAAAAATCTCATGCCTGGGGCTGGGAAGGTGTCTCAGTGGTAGAGTGCTTGCATTGCATGCATAAAACCCTGGGTTTGATTCCTCAGTGCCACATAAGCAGAAAAAGTGGGAAGTGGCGCTGTGGCTCAAATGGTAGAACACTTGCCTTGAGCTGAAGAGCTGAGGGACAGCGCCCAGGCCCAGAGTTCAGGCCCCATGACCAACAACAACAACAACAAAATCTCATGCCCAAGAAACTTAGTTTATGGCTATTGGGCATAGAACCAGGAACAGTGTGGTGGCCACAGAAGGTAGACTCGGGGCTAAGAAAATGTGCAGAGTGTCAAAACCAGCCGGGGCAGGAAAGTCTGTGAGACTCTTATCTCCAATAAAAACCACTAGAAAACTGGCTTAAGCAGTAGAGCGCTCTCCTTGTGCTGAAGAGCTCAGGGACAGTGCCCAGGCCCAGAGTTCAAGCCCCATGACCGACAAAAAAAAAGCAGTTAACAAGAGGCCAGAAATATACTCAGAATGGAAGCTATTTGGCTTAGAGGTAGGAGAAAAAGATCAGCCAATAAATACAGGGCTGCAAGTACATTCTTGTTGGACCAAGTATGTGCTGCTTGCTCAAAACCATCTGGCAATCAGTTCTAAACTTACAACGAGGTGCCTGAAATCTTTTGTGATTTCCTATGATAGTCTTTAAAGGTTAACTAGAATGACAAATGAGTTTGTGTGTCAAAGTCCTACAGTCAGATGATTAGGAGATATGACAACTCTGTCTGGCCCCAGTCTCAACAGGCACTATCTCAGAGAGCTGCCCTGTCAGGAAGCTCAGAGGGAAAAAGTGGTTAGATTATTTTTAACATATTAGAACTTAGCAACCGCCTTGTTTTCTAGATAAATGAGTTTAATTTTAATTGAAGGAGTTAATTTTAATTAAAAGAATAATAATGGCCTTGGCAATTTTCTCAGAATCACATCTGCTATGTGTGACCTGCTCTAAAGGAATACTTGTTAGAGAAGTACCAAAATCTGACTTTACAAAATCTGGCTTACAAAGGGTTGTTGGTTCCCGTTTGGATTCATCTGGATTTAAGGATAGTGATAGACGTATTAGTAGAAACTGTAAGTCATCTGGTGAGTCATTCTCCTGCTACTGAGAGGCAGTGATACTCTCATTCCCTCAAGTGTTGCTGGGCGTTTGCTACCACACCAGCTTCCACTCAGCCCAGCCATCACCTGGACAACCACCAACACCTCAACAGGTGGGGCTGTGAGGCTCGGAAGTGTGGTATAGGGAATTTGAAAGGCCTTTTTCATTTATGCTGCTTTCTCTTTACGATGGGGTTAATCCCACACAGCCCCTTCATAAAAGGAAGAACTGCTGTATGATGATCATTTTTCTCTCTGTTTTTAGTTATTTGACAGGGATGAAAGATGGGCTGAGGTGAAGGACAAAGTGGAAGGAGAGAAGCAAGGGTGAGGTGGTCAGAAAATATTAAACTGTTGTTCAAAACGTATTCTGTAGCAGTGAATATTAATTATGAGTAATTGCGTAAGATACTTGGTGCTATATAGTCACAATTAATCCAATTTCAATGAGTTATTTAGAAGAAAACCTAACTCTGGTAAAATGACCCAAAGTTTACAATATCTAAAGTCCAAAACATTAAAAAATATATATAATATATATATATATATATATATATATATTTGGGTCCAGTTGTGGGGCCTGAACTCTGGTCCTGGACGCTGTCCCTCAGCTCTTCAGCTCAAGGCTAGCGCTCTACCACTTGAGCCACAGCACCATTTCCGGCTTTTTTCTTTTTGCTTATGTGGTACTAAGGAATCGAACCCAGGGCCTCATGCAGGCAAGGCAAGCACTCTACCACTGAGCACCTTCCCAGCTCTAAAAAATATTTTTTAAAAATCTAAAATACTGGGAGCATCATCCCTTATCAAATATGTTTACATTGTAGAAATTGCACTTGAAATCTATGAGAATTTTTCGAGGAGCTTCTGATTGCCCAATCAAGTTCTAAGTTTTAAGAATTTGGAGCTGGAACTTGTTTACCAAGTATGAGGTCCTGAGTTCAAACACCAACACTACCAAAACAACAGCAACAAAATAATTTCATACTATTTTTCATTCATATTAGATATGATTGCCTCATATGTTACATTTTATTGTACCTTTGGTTCTGTTCGTTTTATTTTGCAGTTCTGGAATTTTCTTTTCACATGAATTTTGCCATTGTGTAGATATCTTTGCCTACATTTTAGTAATACTCTTATGGAGTGTAATCTGAAGAATGGTGAAGGCTCACTAATAACTGTGTGCTCTGTTTCTCGAAAGTCCAGAGTCTGACAAAGATCAATTTAGTGGATTCTGCTGGTTGTACCCAGAGAGAGCTTATTTACTTAGCTGATGATATTTGTTCAGTCCATTAGCATACGAACGGGATCTGGAAGTTACCCAAGAGTCATTAATGTGGAAATTAAGTTAAGTATTACACTCTGAAATGCTAAGGCCAAACTTTGAGATATCATCTTGACCTCTTTATTTTCTCTGATAACTCCTTGTGTCATCAGCAATCCTCGTTCTCTACCATTAAAATATGATCCAGAATCTGACTGACCTTTTTTTTCTTTTTTTAATATTACCATTTTGGTCCGAAGTCCTAACCTTTTGCTGAATTATTGCCATAGCCTCTTACCTATAGGTAGAATGGATGGACAGTAGAAGGTAAGAAGAGTTGGTGAAGGATTTAGGGGAACAGATTAGGTCCAAATTTCCATCAGCATATCTGATTCCAAATTCAGAAATCCATTCAAACTAATTTTCATGAAGAAGTGAAGAAAATATAGAAGGTAGACTGGACAAGGGGTAAGGCCTGGGAAAGTGACAAGTCAGAAGTGGAGATCCTACTTTCTACCTTCCTGGTGTCACGGTTGGTCACTATTCTTTGTTCTGTGTGTCTGCTCCTTCTTCCTATATTTTACCTAAAAATGGTCACTCTTAGTTTCATTGAACAAGAAGTAAAACTTGGCTGTTGCTCAGCTCTACTTTACATGATTCAGTATTCTTATAGTTTAGCCCAGTTAACAACTTTATATCTCAATTTTAAATTCCCAGAATATTGCTGGGCTTGATTTATTTCATATGTCTACCTCTGATCCAATAAGTTGGAATCTGGAAAGAAAGTCACCTGATAAAAATGTATTTTCCCAAGCCTATCACTTTAGTAACCCAGTCAGAAAACCAACTAATTAACATGTGTATTACAACTTAGCAATCATCTAAACTCAATACTCTGTTAAATGGTGTAGTAAATCAATTATTGTCATGTGCACATCCTTTGGGACTCAATAAACTAAAATTAAGTCAATAAAAATGAATGAGCAATGATGTAGGTTTGGTCTACTTTCCAGAAAATTTTTATCAATATACAATTTATTAAAATATTTACTTTGTTTCTATTTTTTAGTTGCATTTACTATCCAGTTGCACCTATGAGACTAAAAAAAAAAACCAAGAGCCTTCCTTAATACTGTAACTTTTAAACAAGATAATGATTCCGGAATTTTATGAAATTCTGAATTTTTGGTCTTTCATACATAATTGAGTGGGCTATCTTTCTTTTTGTGTGTGTGAATCTTTTTGTCTTTAAAATTTGCTTTCTCTTCTTTTTTTGTGCCTCATCTGTTAACAAAGTATTTTTTTGTGCCACCTGACTCATTTAATGTAATCTACCTAAATTTTCAGTGGTGTCATGTTTTGGCTCATTCTTCAATAAGCAGGGAAGAAAGATTCCATTTAGGAGACTATCACTTGCTCAAAGGCAGAAAGCTATTGAAATCAACATACTGATTCATTCATTAAAATAAAACAAACAAATATGAAATTTTTCTAAGATATTATTGTACATGAAATGCTCTGTGTTAAGTTTTAAACTGAACAATGTTTTACATTTATGCTTAATACAAATTTTAAATTTTTAATTAATTTTACATTTCCTTCTTCAATTTTCAAGTTTAATTTTACAAACAAAATAAGCAACTGAAACTGACTTGCTAGAAATACCATGAGCTTGAGGATCTGTTGTTTTATCTTTGCCATCATGAATGGATGTTTTGGGAGGCATTGGTATAAATATATATAAAGTGATTTCTAGAAGTGCTTTACTATTCCTGAATTCGAGAGGGATAAGATACAGCGCCCCAAATCTAACTACATTCATTTTAAATCTTGAGCATCTTCTAAGAACTATGTTTTGGTAATACTAGTTCATAATCTCATGAAAGTGATAAGGAAATAATTGTAACAAACAAAAACAAATACCTAAATTAAAAAATAGAGACCAGGCATAACTTGGTGATCTCCTGAAGTTCCCTTCACCTAAAAATCCTGACAGTGTACCAGGAAGTTGCCAATTTTTAGGGCCTTCAGAATGCTGAGTAATGTAGAAAGAGCTTCATTCTCTACTCCTCAACCCTCCCCCTGGGAAAAATCCTAGGGAGGAGGTAGTATTACCCTCATTTCACACATGAAGCCTCTGACCCTTAGGAAAGTTAAGGAAATTTAAGGAAAGTTAAGGAATTTTCCCAAGGTTGCACAGATTACCCAGGCAAGGATTGAAATTCAGGCAAGCAAGTCTGGGATTTTTCCACTACATGACCAGTCTCTGGGCAAGACACTGTTACTTCACCAGTGTTGGGATTTTTGTTTGTTTGTTTGTTTGTTTAAAAATAATTCAACGATAATCAATGACCCAATCAATTTCTTTTAAACCTATGTGAAAAGGTAGATCATAAAATTCTTTTTTTTTTTTTTTTGGCAGTATTAGGGCTTGAACTCTGGGCCTGGGTGCTGTCTTTCATCTCTTCAGCTCAGGGCAAGTGCTCTACCACTTGAGCCACAGCTCCACTTCCTAGATCACAAAATTCTAATGGCATATAATCTTCCTGTTTTGTAAATTCCTACATGGAGTTATTCGAAATATTTAAAGGCTCTCTAGGAGTCTGGTGTTGGTGGATCACATCTTCAATCCTTAGCTACTCAGGGATACTGAGATCTGAGGATCTTGATTCCTCTGGCAGGAATGTCCATGGGATTCTTATCTCCAATTAACTCCCCAAAATCCAAAAGTGGAGCTGTGGCTCAAGTGATAGTGGGCTAGCCTCGAGCAAACAAAGCTCAGAGACAGTGAGTGCTTAGGTCCTAAGTTCAGGCCTCAGGGTCAACACACACACACACACACACAACACCACGCTCTCCACGTAATTGAAGCTCCACCTGAGACTGTGGTAAGCCCACTTAAAGCCAGAATTTCATTTTTATGCCTACAGTACCAAGCACTGTGTCACACAGCACAAAAATATATTTCCGAAAAATTAATTAGCAAAACAAAAGTTCAGAGCCACTTGGAAAGTATTCTGAAGAGTCTTCAAATTTACCTTCATGCTCCTTTCTCCCGCGTGAATTTACATTCTACTTCAATACGTATTAAGCCAGGCACCCCGACCCCCACCCCCTCCCATTTGTAGGTTCCAAGGGGAAGGCTTCACCCAGGGACGCGAAAGATGGGTGAGAACTACACTTCCCGAAATGCATGAGCTCCGGTGGTAGTGATTGGCTGACTCTTTTTGAAGGCAAGTTATATTTGCCAATAAGATAACGAGAACTTTCAGAAGGGGGCTGGAGGCGACCAATCACAAGGAAAACGGCGAGAGCTTCAGAACTAACAGACCCTTTGTAGCTCCACCCTGTCTCTGTCTGTCTGTCTGTCTGTCTGTCTGTCTGTCTGTCTGTCTGTCTGTCTGTCTGTCTGTCTGTCTGTCTGTCTGTCTGTCTGTCTCTGTCTGTCTGTCTGTCTGTCTGTCTGTCTGTCTGTACCGTAGCGGGGAAGGGTGCGGGAAGTCAGTAACCCCAGGACTGTCCTCTCCTTCCTCACCTGCTGAATTCAGTTAGTCTTTCTGCGCTTCTTCATATTTTTCACACCTTTCCCAATCTGTTCCTCGGTGTCTCCGATGTCTTTTCTAGTTGAACGAGAGAATTTCCTCCAGCTGTGCCCTCTCCCTCCCTCCCTCTCTCTGCCTTTGAAAACTTGAGCCCATTTCTCATAAGCATCAGACAGGTCTGAGCAAAAACTTCACCCAGTCTCCTGCCCCCTCTAGAAAGAGTCCAGAGGAGGCTCCGGGTGCCGCGTGGCCGGTCGGCCTTCCAGCGACCCACGGAAGGTTCGGAAGCCCGGGCAGCGCCAGCGTCGCTGACATCCGCTCCCCCCGCTCGCCCCCCGCCTAGCCTTCCCGCCGAATTCGGGGTGGCGTGTCGCAGGCCGGGTCTTGCACCCCTTCCCCTTTGGCTGCTGCGTATTGGCTTCCAGCAGCCACCGCCACGGCCAGACTGGTTTTACCAACTGTCAGAGCGTCAGGAAGGAGGCCGGGCTTCCCTCCCGGCGAGTCTCGCCTTTGCTAGTACCTTTCAACGTCTGCCATCCTTTTGTCGCTGACATAATCTTTTTCAATATCCTCAATCCAAACAAGTCCCACACAAAGCCCATCCGTAACGCGACGGCGATCGCCCCCGCCCCCCCCCCGCCGCAGCCCCCGCTTCCCGACGGGGAGGACGCACTCCTTCCCCACCTCCGCTCCGAGGAGCGGATTTCCAGTCCCAGCTCTCCCGCAGCCCGAGAGCCGCCCGCATTTTGGACGATGCCAGCTGCAGGGGAAGCAGCTGCATACTCTGGCAAGCGCGTTCGGGGTGGGAGAAATTCAGCCCGGCGTCTGGGATTTTCGCAGAGGATAATTTAAGCCCCAGCTTCTCCCGGGGCTCCGGGGAGGGGAAGGGAGGGGAGCGAGA